CCCTTCCCCCTCCCACCCTGGCCCACCTTAATGGCGGTCGTGGCGATCTGGATGTGGTGGAGCCGGCGCAGCGTGCTCTCCCGGTCGATGAAGTAGGAGGCTGCCAGTTGGTGCAGGGTCTCCAGTGAGACCCCTGAGCTGTTCCCAGCCCCCCTGGCAGGCTCTGCCCTCCGGCTCAGCTTGCGCTTGTCCACAAAAATGGTCAAGGACTCCTCTCCTGGTGGGGAGAAAACATTCAATGCTTTCAGGGGGGGGTTGCTGAGCTCCCTCCCCTTCCCCTTCTTGGCCGTATTTCTCACAAGGTGCTTATTTTCCTGCCCTCCCGCCTTTTCCAGGCTGCCTGGTGGGAGGAGGAGCAAGCTGGGAGGACAACAGGCACCAGCACTCACCTCCCAGCGTGGCTGCCAGCAAGAAGTGGGTCCCATACTTCTTGATGAGGCTGTCTGTGATCTGCTGAGGGCTGGGCCGGCGCCCCAGCAGGCGGATGTTGCGGATGAATTCGGGGGCCAGGGGAAGGGGCAGGTTGAAGAAGTCTTTCCTCTCCAAGGCCAAGTTATTCACCTTCCAGCGAGCAAACTCTCTGTGGGAGGAGAGGGACGATGGGGAGGGGGTTTTAAAAGCCGGTGAGATTGTGATACTTGCACACTGTCCCCGGTTTCTACCTTGGGGCAGGGGATCAGTAGGAGGAAGAAGTCCCATTGGGACCATTCTGACTTCCTGAGGAGGTGAAGGACCCAGGACACGTGCTCACCAGCTATAGATCCAGCCAGGATGAAAGCATCGTCCCTCCCTAAGCCATCGATGGCAATAACAAGGTACAAGCAGCGGAGATGCCTGATATTGATTAATCAGGCACCTCCGGTGGACATTAATCACAGCCCAGGGCAGGGCCAGAACCTTTTCCAGCCTGGCCTCATTCTATCCTCCATCCCCACGCCTAGGGATCTGGGTGAAAAAACCTAACATCAAGGGGTCTCGTGGTTTTAAGTGTCGGCAACATTTTTGAGGAAGTCGGAGGTGGCGGGATGATGTGGTGGGATGTGGTGGGGTTGGTGGTGGGATGATGTGGTGGGGTTGGTGGTGGGTCCCCTCATAGCCCTGGAGGTCACAAATGTGCCCAATAGCTCCCCTGGCCCCAGGGAGTAGCCACCAGCCTGCCACTGCCTCCATCAACCCACAGCCCTGTAAACATCCAGGGGCTGGTTTCAGCCTAATCTTTGGCATTTTGCTCTAATTAAAACCAGGCGGTGGCTTTCAGGCAGTTTAATTAAGGGTGGTTGGAAAAGGAGGGAGAGGGAGGAGGAGGGAGGCGTGCAAAGCAGCCGAGGGGCTTTGGCAGATGCCCGCTTGCATCCCATCATCATTTCTGAGTCCAGCAAGTGGGGTGTTGGGGCCAGGACTGGGGCTGAAGGTGAGGGAAAACAGGGTGCTGCCTCTCCCCTTGCCTGCACGCTCTCTGGGTGCTGGGGTGCATGGGGAAGGGGACCAGGAGTCCTGTGCTGGGTCCCCCCACCTTATTCCGCAGGCAGAACAAAGCCCCGGGGAGGCACGGGCTGGCTGCTGTCCCTCTGGCTGCTCCCTCCTGTCCCACCACCGTCACCAGCAGCATCCCTGGAGGATGCTGGTCCCTTGGCACGGCAGTGACAGCACACAGGGTGGAGGTGAAGGGGAAGAGAACCTCTCCGGGGGTGCCAGGCTGCGTAATGAGGTCTTCACATCACCTCTCCTGGGAGGCAGCCTCTGGGTTTCGCTCCACTGCTGGAAACCCCCAGGGCTTGGCACCAGCAAGGAGAGGAAGGAAAAGGCCTTATTAGCAGGAGGTGACAGCCCCAGTTAGCACTGGAGGTAGTGCAGTGGGTTTCCCATGCTAGCTGTCACTGGGTGGCCCTTTGCTGGGATCACCACTGCTGAGCCTGGTTCTCCCACCAGCAAGGAACCCCTCCAGCATTGTTCCCTGTGCATCCTGCTGCCGTGATCTGTGAGGTGACAGCCTTGGGGACGTGGCAGGGGGTCAGTCAGGGTGACTTTTTGCAAGCCCCAGCAGTGTCCCAGCCCCAAGAGGGTGGGAAGTATAGGCATGCTTAGTAATCTGGCACCGAGTTGTCTTCGTGCATGGCAAAAAGACAAAGGAGCATCCATCCCTCTGTGGCTCCCCACTATGAGGGCTGATCCCACCCCAACCCAATCACTCCTGGCTCTGGGCAAACTCTGCCTGCAGCCCATCCCATGAGCACCTTGTGGGGCTCCTGTTACATCCCCAAGGAGCAGCAGCCTCCTCCTGCAAGCAGGGCTCTGCTCCTGCAGATTAACACGGGTCTGTGTCCCCTTCACCGTGTCCCCTGACCCCTCTTCAACCCCCCCAAAACCCCAGCTGCCTCCCGGGGTGCTCTCTCACCTGTAGATCCTGTACCTGGTGGTGAAACCCTGCCGGTAGCGCTCCATGAAGTCCACGTACTCCTGGGCTCGGTAGAAGGGTCCTCGGTCGGTGAGGAGCCAGTCGAGGGGTGCCCGGCCGGAGGAGGATGAGGATGAAGAGGAAGGGGTTGAGGGGGAGGCATGTTGCTGGGGCACGGTGCCCCCTGCCCCGCCGGCCACCCCCCAGGGGCAGCAGGCGCTCAGGGCCAGGAGGGCCAGTGGCCACGGGAGCATGGGCGGGGGCCCGTCAGGGCACGGGAGGTCCTGCTGCCCCATCCTGCTGCTGCTCGGCCGGCTTCTTCATTCTCTCACCCCACGGTGATGCTCTGGGATGGCTCTGCCCTGCAAGGGGGACAGCGTGGTGGCTCAAGGGGAGGTGGGGGCAGTTCCTTATGGATAGAACCCCCCCCCCGGTGCATCCATGAGGTAAGGGAAGGTGGGGTTTGGCTTGGGGAAGCTGCTGGGATGCTGATGAGAGGGGGTTCTCCCCCTCTAGACTGCTCAGGTGAGTCCCCATAGCCCTTGCAGTTCTGGGTCTATTTCTGGAGGCCCCAAGATAGAAAGGACATGGAGCTGTTGGAGAGTCCAGAGCCAGAGAGGGCCATGAAGATGCTCAGAGGGTTGAAGCACCTCTGCTATGAAGACAGGCTGAGAGAGTTGGGCTGATTCAGCCTGGAGAAGAAAAGGCATTGGGGAGTCCTTAGAGCATCTTCCAGTGCCTGAAGGGGCTCCAGGAAAGCTGGGGAGGGGCTTTTGAAAAGGGCATGGAATGATAGGACAATGGGGAATGGTTTCAAACTGGAAGAGGGGAGATTTAGGTTGGACATTAGGAAGAAATTCTTTAGTGTGAGGGTGGTGAGAGCCTGGCACAGGTTGCCCAGAAAAGTTATGGCTGCCCCATCCCTGGAAAAGTCCAAAGCCATGTTGGATGGGGCTTGGAGCAACCTGGTCTAGTGGAAGGTGTCCCTGTCCATGGCAGGAGGGTTGGAACTAGATGATCTTTAAGGGCCTTCTAATACAAACTGTACTGTCATTCTATGAGAGCCATGTGTCCACATGTGGTTGATGTTAGACTTTCCTTTGTGTCCTGCTGGTGGCTTGGATGGATGGATGGATGGATGGATGGATGGATGGATGGATGGATGGATGGATGGATGTCCTGATGGATGGATGGATGGATGGATGGATGGATGGATGGATGGATGGATGGATGGATGGATGGATGGATGGATGGATGGATGGATGGATGGATGGATGGATGGATGGATGGATGGATGGATGGATGGATGGATGGATGGATGGATGGATGGATGTCCTCCCCAAGGCTAGCTGGGCTGATCACAGTGATCTTTTGAACTCAATCAACATTTTTCTCAAGTGGATGGATGGATGGATGGATGGATGGATGTCCTCCCCAAGGCTAGCTGGGCTGATCACAGTGATCTTTTGAACTCAATCAACATTTTTCTCAAGATCTTTCTAGTCTCATTCCAGCACTATCTGCCGAAGCCCAGAGGGAGTTTTGCTGGGATCAGCAGTCCTGGATTTGCAAGTCAAGTTGGCAAATGTGGAGCTGCAAGGTAAATCAGAGCTGGAGGAGTGTAGGGGGGGAGGTGAGGTGTCCTGCCTTAGAGCTGTTTGCCTAAGAATCAGGACCCCATCACTACAGTTCTTCCAGGGGAGGTGATTTTAATTTCAAAAAGGTGGCTGGTGGGACTGGGAGCCCAAACACTCATCACTGCCAAGCACAAACTAGCCCTGTGCTCTCCCAAAACAGGGCTTTGCCAGATGAGTCATCACACTTTAACACATATTATTATTGTCTTATTCTTTTTTTTTCTCCCTCTCTTCTATTTTTAAACCCTGAAGGCTGCACTTTGATTACACTTTCTCAGCTTCTTGCTCAGCCCACGAGGCTGAGGCCTTGTTAATTTTTAAAAAAAGCTGAGATTTTTGCATCACCAGCTCAGGAGTGCCAGGGCAGTGGGGAGGGCAGGAGCAACAGGCAGGAGTTTTTTTTCCATCCTCCCCCACACCATCTTTCCAGTTGTGGCTTCTCCCAGTCTTGCAGGCAACCCTGGTCATTGCCTCCTCCTCCTCCTCCTCCCAGCACTTGGAGTCCCCCATGGCCATGACGTGACCAAATCCTGGCCTGAACAAACAGTTTGGTTTGTTCTAGTCAGTCTCCCGAGGCAAAAGTGCTCCTTTGAGCAGCATCTTTCTAAACCCTGCTGCTGGAAATGCTCTGCCTGTAGCATTAAATATGGCTGTGCCAGCAAAACACCTTGCTTAAATCCCCAGCACGTGAGGTAGCCTGACCACTGCACCATGGAAGAGCTTGGCACTGCCAATCTCCTTGGCCTCTGTCCTTCTCTGTGGCTTTTAGGTGCCTCCTGAGCACCCCAACCAGGGTGGGTCTTCCCTGGCATAAGCCAGGAGGATGTGGAAACATCCTGCCTTTGGTCTGAGGGGATTTTCTGGGTGTGAGGGGACACCAGGTGTAGCAGTGTCCCTTCCAAAGAACCATCCTGGGTGCTAACAGCTTTCCCCCAGCACTGACCAGCCCCTTGCCACCACCACCACGTGCCCTCCCTGAGAGGGGCTGCCCTTTCCCTCCAAACCTCCTCTCCCACCTCTGCAGTTCAAGGTGAAACCTCATTTGGGTGACCATTGCGGGGACAGATATGAGGAAAGGAACCACCTTGGGCCACCTCTTCCCTTGGGGCTACTGTCCCCAGACCAGCTAGAAACCACCTCAGCCTGCTCTGCCTTCCCTAGGGAGCCCAGTCTGAGAATCAAAGCTGGCCCTGGGATATTTCCATGTGGCCATCTCGTGTTTTACTGCAGCACAGCCAAAAAATAAATAGCCAGAATTAGGTATTCCCAGCACTTGGCTAGTGCAAATCCAGCTCAGGTCCCTTCCTGGCGTGCAGAGTCCCTTCAAGCAACACCCTTTCATTCCAGCCTTGCTAAATGAGCTCTTTATTTACACCCTGAGTGCTGGCACCTCCGAGCCTGGGGACGGGTGGTGACGCACGCGGGCGTCCTTGCCAACAGGAACTTGAAGCCCCAGGTCAGGCAGGCACGGGCAGGAGAACCTGCACTGGGGCTGAGTGACACAGCCAGCTTCTCCCCACGGAGCAGCTTGCCTGCACCACGGGTAGCTGGGCTCTTTGCTCTTTGAGCAGGGGTTCTAGAAAACGAGGACGTGCAGAAGTTGCTACAGCTCCTCATAGTCCTCAGCCCATGTGGATGGGAGGGGCTCTGGTTTGGCTGCTTCTGGCTTCAAGGTTTGGGTCAAGGCTTATCTGAGGGCACCTGTGAGGGGCTCTGGTTTGGCTGCTTCTGGTTTCAAGGTTTGGGTCAAGGCTTATCTGAGGGCACCTCCACTTGCTCACACCAGAGTCTCCCAGGGATGCTGGGGAGAGCAAAGCTCTTTAGAGATGAGTAAACCCCTTGACGTCACTGCTAGAGCTGAAAAGAACTTTCTAACCACTTTTCCTTGATCCAAAAGGATGAAGATTTGATGAGGAGTATCTGACTACTCTTTTTTTCTGATTTAGGGTTTTGAATCACAGAAGGTGGAAACCTTCCAGCTTGTTAATTATTATTGTTTTAATTCCCCCTTCTATATAAGGCTTAAGGCAAAGGAAGAAGAGGAGGGTCAATGCAGATATTCTTGGGAAGCTTCTCCAGGCCCACAACCTCCTTCCTGGCCAAGCTTTCCTGAGCTTATTGCACCCCTCCACCACCCTGTTGCCTGCAGCAGAACACTCTGGTGTCTCTCCAGTGACACCCAATGCATGGCTTGGATTGTTGTCACTTGTCACGAGCTACCTCTTCCAAAACAGCTTGTTGCAGCTTCTAGATGCTTATCTGAGGGCACCTCCACTTGCTCACGCCAGAGTCTCCCAGGGATGCTGGGGAGAGCAAAGCTCTTTAGAGATGAGTAAACCCCTTGACCTCACTGCTAGAGCTGAAAAGAACTTTCTAATCACTTTTCCTTGATCCAAAAGGATGAAGATTTGATGAGGAGTATCTGACTACTCTTTTTTTCTGATTTAGGGTTTTGAATCACAGAAGGTGGAAACCTTCCAGCTTGTTAATTATTATTGTTTTAATTCCCCCTTCTATATAAGGCTTAAGGCAAAGGAAGAAGAGGAGGGTCAATGCAGATATTCTTGGGAAGCTTCTCCAGGCCCACAACCTCCTTCCTGGCCAAGCTTTCCTGAGCTTATTGCACCCCTCCACCACCCTGTTGCCTGCAGCAGAACACTCTGGTGTCTCTCCAGTGACACCCAATGCATGGCTTGGATTGTTGTCACTTGTCACGAGCTACCTCTTCCAAAACAGCTTGTTGCAGCTTCTAGAGGTGCCCTCCCACCCTCGAGGTGCCTTCTGCCCTGGGTTCTGAGGCAGGGTGGTGTGAGGTGTGGGCAGGGATGCTTGGGCGAGATGCAAAAGCCTTTCCCTCCTGCCCTTGGAGCTGCTGGTGGCAGGGGTGACATCCTGCAGAGTTGTGCCCAGGTCCTCCTCGCTCCCGTGCCGACAGCACCTCCGGAGCTCATCAGGCTGAGCTCGATAATTAAGACGTTGGCTAATTGTCAGGGACGTTAACATTGATTTCTGCAGGAGAGGATCTGGAGATGCTGAAGCTGGGGAGAGGCTGCAGTGGTGTTTGCTGGGTGCTGTGGGGAAGCACTCGACTCTGGACACGACTGCCTGTGGATGGGGAGCCCAAGCACCCGACGCCTGCACCAGGCAGAGCTGTAGCTGTTGGCAACAGAGCTGTGGGACTTGCCCAGCCACTGGGATGGTCCCTGGGGCACGGGGAGGGGGAAGGCACATCCATGGAGGAGCAGGGAGGGATGGGGATGGATCTCGAGCCGCCTGCGGATGCCTTTTAGTGGGAACGAGCATCAGATTAGTGGTGGAGTCACCTCATTAAACGTGGGAAAGCTTTATCAAATTATGGCCACTTAAGAGAGTCTGGGCAGAGGCTAAGTGCAGTTTAGTTCCTGAAGTGGATTGACTCAGCTGAGCTGTGCCCACGGGAAGGCACCCAGGGCCCCCCCTTCTCCCTTTTCACCCACCAGGACAGACAATCCCAAAGGGCTGGATCCTGCAGGATGCTCAGCCCTGCTTCCTCCCTCACCCTCCCTGCTGCTCTGTGCTGTGTGAGCAGGGGCTCTCAGCCCCCACCCAGCCCGGGTGCTCCCCAGGAAGAGCCAGGGCCTCATTGATCTGCTGGGGTAATTAAGAAGAGTGAGCCAGGCACCTCCGGAGCCACAGCAGCAGGGCAATCACTGGCCAAGTGGGCACAGCAGAGGTGCTGTCAGCCTCCTGGCACCCAGCCTGGGGACACACAGCAAGGGGACAGCCACCTCAGAGCCTGCCACCCCTGCCCCAGCAGCAACACTGGCAAGCACAATGGTGGCTGGGGGGCTGTCTGGGCTCCTGTAAACCACCCTCCCTAACCCCTTCAGTCTCGGTGGCTAAAGTGACTTTTGAGCCAGACTTCCAGCTCCTGAGACTGCTTGAACTTAATGAATTGGGTTCCTTTTATTAGCTTTTCTTCACGTACTGAAGAGCAAGGCACTCGAAGATGAGAGTGAAGGAAAATAGCAGAAAAATCCCAGGACTCAAGGAGCTGGAGGATTTGCATAAGACATCAAATGAGATGAAGCCTGGGCTGCCATCAGGGGAGATGGCATCTGCCTGCACCCTGTCACCCCAGTGCCATGTGCTGTGTCCTCAGGCTGTGCTCACCCCAGACTTCCACACCCACAGGCAGAAAGCCTCTTAAAAGAGCAATGTGCAAAACAGAACCCTTCCCAGCACTGTGGCAGCAGCACCAGCTTCCTTCCTGGCCTTGTGTGGAGTTCTTGGCTCAAAAGCTCCCTGTGGATGGGTCTTTGGGACCGGGGAAGAGCATCCCTGGAGAGCTCTGGAAGAGCATCCCTGCACATCGGGAGCTCTGGAAGAGCATCCCTGGAGAGCTCTGGAAGAGCATCCCTTGCACACGGGAGCTCTGGAAGAGCATCCCTGGAGAGCTCTGGAAGAGCATCCCTTGCACACGGGAGCTCTGGAAGAGCATCCCTGGAGAGCTCTGGAAGAGCATCCCTTGCACACGAGAGCTCTGGAAGAGCATCCCTGCACACGAGAGCTCTGGAAGAGCATCCCTGCACACGAGAGCTCTGGAAGAGCATCCCTGCACACGAGAGCTCTGGAAGAGCATCCCTGCACACGAGAGCTCTGGAAGAGCATCCCTGCAGTTACCTCCCTGGAGAGGACATCTTTTCCCCCTCTCCTGCAATGGGCAGAGGGAGCAGAGTACCAGCCTGATGCCCAAGCTGGAGGCAGCACAAGGTAAGGATCCCTCCACTGCCATCCCACGGGTGACACGAGTCACAGGGGTGGGCAGTGATGCGGGGCAGCAGATCAGCTTGGTAAATAAGGTGGTTTAATGCTGGACAGGAGGGCTGGGGTGTCCGAGGGGAATCACCCCCCTGGCCCCGCAGGTCTCGGACCCCCCCACTAAAACCAGTTCCTCTTGGACAAAACAAATAAACCCAGGGCTGCGGGCACATCCCCCCAGGCTGGCAGGAACCCTCCTGGCTCTGACAGCGAGGGGACACTGACACCTGCTGGCAGGTCCCCCCCTCCCGGCCCTGCTATCGGGGGGTGTTATCGGGGGGTCCCCCCGGAGCAGGGCTGGGACAGGGAGGTGATGCTCTCAAGCTCGGGGCTTTTAAAGATCCCAAACGTTTCCTACTTGGGAAAAAAAACCACCTATATTTAAAAAATAGTGTTTAATCAAGGGGATGGAGCTTGGCAGCCGAGGACCCCGCGGGGGGGGGGGGGG